TTGGGCCCCCACGGCCACTGACGACCACGCGCTCTACTCCGTCGCCCAGGCCAGGACCTGCCGGGCGCACCGAGCCGGGAGCCCTGAGCCGATGCTAAAGGGCGTCGGTGTGGGTCTCCCCTAACGCGCCCACTTCTCACGCCCTACGCCACCGCGGGGTGGGGGGGGCGGGAAAGGCTGCTCTTGGGGCCTAGACGTCAAAAATAAAAATAATTCGGCAGTTTTCTTTTCCTTGCCCAACGTAGGCATGAAAAAGAGAGACGCCCCGGCCCTTCCGACCCCAGGAGACCGCAGCCGGGCGTCCATCTGCTTCCCGGAGGCGCGGAGCGCAGAGGCCCTGGAGGACAAGCTGTTCTTCGCATGGTCCCTAGAGGGCGCTCCGCGCGCCCTCGGTGCTTCTCAGCCTAAAGTTTAGAAATTCTGAAGCCGTTTCCGGCCATTCCTTCCGTAGTTCACCAAAATCTATACTTACTTGAATTCTGTTTACAGGTTTCTGACAACCTGGTTAGGTGATTAAAATTTTAAAAATGCATGAAGTGAAAGTTGGCTTGTCCAATAAAGTATTTAATCATTCCATCCTACAGAATACATTTCCAAATAATTTATAAAATACTGACAGAGCCAAACTGAAAGCTTTGTTTTTTTAGTTAGTATGAAGTTGAACTTTAAGAAGTCCCTCCTTCCTTAAGGTTTGTGGGTGCTCTTGTTTCGTTGTTTGTGAAACTGAAGAAGAGGGGGAAATTATAATAGCCAGAGGTCTGTCCAGGCAGGGACAGCTGGGCCACTCCTGGCTCTGGTGCTTTTCTCTTACCCCTAGGAGGACAGCAGAAGAAGTAGACAGACAGGACGTGGCCTCTGCCCCGCTGCGTGTCCCTCACTGCCTGACCACCCCCGGCATCTGACACCATGGGTCCCCAGAAGCAGCTTGTGCCCCTCTGCTAGTGTCAGTGTGTCCCCTGCATGTAGTAAACACCTTCGGTGGCAGAGTATGGCTCAGTGTGGGGTGGAGAGGAGCTGCGGGGAAATGGTGCACAGTCCACGGGAGGAGTTTTTCCCTGCAGGATGCTCAAGAGTCACGCACAGAACAGTCACGACGCAGCAGAGCACCAACACCTTTTCCCTGAGCATCATTTGGAGGAAAAAAAAAATACCACTCCCTGAGATATAGCTCAGTGGTAGAGCCCTCACCTAGGGCACATGAAGCCCTGGGTTCTTCCCCAACTCTGTTTTTTTAAAAAAAGTGTCTCTCAGGAATGTATGAGGCACAGCTCTGAGAAGTTTTCCTCCCTTGCTGTAACTCGAGGGCCCCCCTCCTTTGGTTCCTGTGTGACCCACCTCGACCCTGGCAGTATGGGCACCGGCTGAATTTAGCTTGAAGTCTTAGTCTGTTCTCCGGCCTGGATCCTGGTTCTTTCTTTCCCCTAAGTTTGGGGACTGCAGGCCACATCCATCATAATTACAGCAAAATCATACAGATTGAGCCATCTGTATTTTTTTTTTTTCAGATCACAGAGGAAACTCTAAGGTTCTCTGCTTCAATGGCTGAGAAGGTCACAGATGCCAGTGGTGGCTGAGATCACCCCCAAGGAGGGGCTGTGCATTTTAGGAACTGGTTGCAGAACTCAAGGTGAGGAGGGTTCCCTCCTGTGCTTGGCCACTACCTTGTCTGGCAGTGGCTGGGAGTCTGGTTTAACCCTGATCTCACTTCAGATTGTCTCACTGGTTTGGCCTTGTGAGGGGCCTGGGCCAGGTGAGGGTCCCTGGAGTCTGAAGGGGCAGGCAGAGTGAGTCCTTGGACCACAGCCCCCACTGCTGACTCTGAGGCTCACTGGCTGTGGTTCTCCATGGCTTTCAAGCCTCTCAAAGAAGAGGAAAGATCTGGGACCTTCACCCCTGCGATTCTCCTCTGGCCTGGAAATGTGCCTACCTTCGGTGGTCTTGGAATAAGTGTCCTTCCAGTCCCTGATTCTGCAATGGGGTGCTCTATTTTAAGGGAAGGGTCCCTGCAAAGCAGGCTGCCATCTGTTCTGTCTCCATTTTCTTGTTGATTCGTAGGGACCCCCCACTAGCACCCACTCCCCTCTTTCTCTCTCCTTGGAAGGGCCTGTCATTTAATGGGGTTCCCTACAGGACCATCACCAGATGGTCACCACTGTCATCTGGGGCAACCTCAGAAGGTCTATGTTGGTTACTTCCAGACATAACCAGCCCACCATGTGGTGCAGATGAGCAGATTTCCTAGACAAACTTTCCACAGGGATCTTTCCCTAGGTGGACTGCTTGGGGCATTTGTTGGGAGAAAGGCCATTCCAAGTTTCTCTCCCTGTGCAGTCAGCATCTCTCCTTTCTCTTCATACCCATGGCCCTGCCCCTGTCTTGGGATGAGGGGACAATCAGAGAGGAGAATGGAGCCTTACTGTGCAGATATTTCTCAAGAAAAGAGAAACAGCGGTCACTAGCAGAAATCACTGCTTCCAGTCCTCCTGTAGAAGTGGAAATCCTAGGCACCCTGCAGTGGGTCACTGCCCATCCCAGTGGCCTCTTCCCTGACCAGAGTTTCTAAGGAGTTAACTGGATGCACTCCGGGCGCCTTGTCCTTTTTGAAACACAGCGCACCGGTGAGGGTCCGGGCCGGGGGTGGCAGCAGAGCCCTGGCCTGGGGGTCCAGAGGTCCCCGGAGGGACAGGAGTGCTGGGGTTCTTGGCCCGCCTTTTCCACACGGGTCTGAGAAGAGCAAAAACGCCTCGGGCTCCCCCATGCTATACAGCGTCCTTCCGCAGCGTCCACTCCGAGCACACCAGAGGCACCAGTCACCTTCCAGGAGGAGCAGAAAGGCAGGATGCGGTGCCCACCCCGAGCAGACTCCAGCTCCCCAGGACCATCAGTGCAGGGGGTCCCCAAGACCCCGTGCCCAGGCCGGAGCCCCTTCCACCCCTCCTGGCCTCTGCGCATCCAGGCTACCCCCGCCCGGGATTTGCATGCCTGTGAAGTCCCGCAAATAATGCCTGCTGTGCGGGAGATGAAAGCCCGGGAGCCTGGTGGCCGGGCGTTTGAAGTCCCCCAAAGGTGGGGCCGCTGGAATCCCGGGGTGCGGGGGGAAGAGATAAAGCCAGGTGACAAGGGTCCCGGCCAGAGGCAGAGCGGGCGGGCAGAAATCAGCGCCAGTCCAGGGCCCCTCCGCCCCCCTCCCCAGCCT